TTCCTGCGCACTAGACGCAAGGTTGTCAAAACACAAGACTGCATCACAGCACCCCCTTGTGACAATAACAGGCTATAGCCTTAGATTACAAAAAGGGACTTTGCAGCCCTGTATTTCACATGGGTTACATAAGGATTAACGCTAGAAAACTATAAACAAACTACAAGGAAACAGAGACCCCACACAGAGGGTACGACGCGACATGGAGCAGAGAAAACACAGGGCTTAAGTACACAGTCGAGTAATCCGGGAATTGGAGACAGGAAGGAAGCACAGCTGGGAGAAATTAGACCTAACGAGACAAGGGAAGCAAAATTAGAAACACTGACATGAGACACAGACTTTCAAAGTAAAACAGGAAGCACACAATAGGCACAGACATGACACCTACACTAAACACGAGGGAACAAGAAGAAAACCTGTGAACTAAACTCATAACCAGAATTAAACTGAAACATAGAATAATAACAATCAAAACAGCACAACTAGAGAATCAGAACATAAATCATATCGAATAATACCAAAATACAAGAAACTGAAAATGCTGAGTCAAAATGACCTAGAAGTGTGATAGAGACCTTCAAATGAGCCGTTCCTCTGCAGTTGATCTGTTAGCTGTTTGAGAGCTACTCTTTCAAGAGTGTTTGAGATAAAACAAGCCACTGCAGTCAACAGGCCCGCAAAAGGAGTACATCCAACCTCACCACTCACCTCATTTTTTGGCCAATTTTACGTTAGAATCCTTCCAATTTTTGTCTCGCCATGTGAATACTGGTGTTGTTTCTCTTTTCACAGCCAAAGCATCATTCCCCAGTGTTAAATTATGACTAGATAAGAAAAATATTTTGATACAGAAGGAATTACAGCCACACAATAATCCTGGTATCAAATGAGGGAGACCTTTCATCTACTTTACTTTTTTATACTTTTTTGCCTTAGCGTCCCTTCCTTCACCCAACCTGATGGAGGTGCAGGTTCCTGTTGTGGGAAACAGGAAGTGTAACTGTAACTATGGAGTGGGATCAATCACTGACAACATGATCTGTGCCGGGTTACCTGATGGAGGAAAGGACTCCTGTCAGGTGATTGTTGTTACCTGTGTTTGGCACATTTTCACCTTCTACAGTTTCTTCTCCTCAGCTAACAGTAAATGTTTCTGCTCTCAAAGGGAGATTCAGGAGGTCCAATGGTGATCAAGCAGAACGGTCGCTGGATTCAGGCGGGAGTCGTCAGTTTTGGGGAAGGTTGTGCCAGGCCAAATCTTCCAGGAGTCTACGCCAGAGTATCCAAGTACCAGACCTGGATCAACAGCCGGATCTCCTCCAACCAGCCGGGCTTCATGACGTTCACGTCCACTGGGACCAACAGTGACCTCAGTGTCTCCTGCAGAGGACTGCGGTCCTAGCCTGCTTGGTGCCCCAGGCTAAAACTCTCCCCTCCCCAACACACACACACACACACAAAACGTGTCAGGTTTTGTATTGTTGATTATCATTTATGCTTAGAAATATCTACTTATATATGCTTAGAGTTTCATAATTAGTTTTAGATTGGTAAAGGTTTGATCCTTAATAGTCTGCAAACTTTGTGTGCATTCCAGAGCACTCTGGGAGCTTGGGAGAGGTCGTACCTTGTCTTATTGTTTTATGGATAAACGTATCTATATCT